GTTCTGTAACTACAACAATAACTAAATGTTGAGCAAGCTTGAACGAATCTATCGAGCCAAATTAAGGAAAAAATATATACATAGAGGAGTCTTACTTAGCGCAAAAATTCCATCCTATTCTCTATTCATTAGAATACAGTACTAACCCTGCAAACCAAAGTTCCCGAAATCTTTACGAAATCTTTAGGAGTTTCTCATTTCTGTAACGATTCTTTTACGAATCTTCAAAGAAAATTATATGTAATGGTTGATACAAACTCGTAAAGAAATTTCTGTACGAAAAATAAAGAAAGTTCTGAAAAAATTCTGCAAGAAATTTTTCACATAGCAACATTATTTTCATTGCTGTATCGGTTTTCTTCTGAAATTTGTGCACAGTTTATTTAATTTTAGAAAATTTGGCAAAAAATGGGATGAGATCTTTACGAATTCTTTAAAATGTCTCTACAATTCAGAATACTCTGCAAAAATGGTTTGCAGGGTTGCTTCAAAACCNCATCGAGCCAAATTAAGGAAAAAATATATACATAGAGGAGTCTTACTGAGCGCAAAAATTCCATCCTATTCTCTATTCATTAGAATACAGTACTAACCCTGCAAACCAAAGTTCCCGAAATCTTTACGAAATCTTTAGGACTTTCTCATTTCTGTAACGATTCTTTTACGAATCTTCAAAGAAACTTATATGTAATGATTGATACAAACTCGTAAAGAAATTTCTGTACGAAAAATAAAGAAAGTTCTGAAAAAATTCTGCAAGAACTTTTTCACATAGCAGCATTATTTTGATTTCTTTACTGATTTTCTTCCGAAATTTTGTAAAAGAATCGAAGTGTGCACAGTTTATTTCACTTTAGAAAATTCAAAAAATGGGATGAGATCTATACGAATTCTATAAAATTTCTCCATAATTCAGAATACTCTGAAAAATGGTTTGCAGGGCATATGTAGCTTTTGGAAACCAAAACTAGAGAATACCCACCGCAATTAAGTAAAAACGAAAGTGAGGATAAGAGGTGAAGATTGAAGATGAATATCAAGATGAAAATTAATAATGAAGATGAAGACAATGATAACAATAAGCGACACTGTTACGTCCTTATCGCGTATCCAACAGGTCGTTGTAGTGGTACTAGTGTAAAAAAGTAAGTAGAATTGACCCTTAAAACTCTGCAAACCTTTGTATGTGCAGATATGTACATAGCGTATCACTTTAACCGAGATATCCTTGCATACCTTATATGCAAATATATCGCTCGATTGATTTGCTCAAGCTTGTTGCTGTTATTGATGTCGTCACGTTATTTTTTTTATTTTTTTTTTTTGAATAACCCACTTAACCATAAGCGTCAAGTGAATCGTGTTCGCAACTGTGATTCATTGTATATACTTATATACATATGTATATGTATTGATGCATGAATGCATGTGTGTCATTTCGAAAAAGGTATTGCCAATTCGCTTTTAAACGAATTTTACTAATCCATTACTTTTCCATACTTTATATTACTAACAAATTATCTTAGGGTGAAGTACCATATCTAAAGGATCATTGGTGTCAATTCGATGCGTCAATGGTATTTTTTCTCTGGATATCGATTATATTACAAATATTCGAAGTTTTAGAAATTGTACCCAAGTAAGTTGGTCTTTTGTTAAATACAAAACAAATAACCCATGAGAAAGTTGTTTGAGAAATGTTTCGGAAATTATTGAAACCTACCACTTCATATGCCGTTAAAGTGAACAGTGCGAATATACATATGCACATACTTTTTCTTATAAAAAGCGTTTATGTTAAAAATTTCCGAAACACTTTTATTTCAATTTTCAGTAGCATCGAAATTTTTACTAACATTTATCACTCAGATTTTCTTACATCTCCATTTTACGCGCACCACGCCCCTTAATTATGATACGATTCCTGCGAGTCTTCCTGAAATTTTCGATGCCAAAGAGTCGTATTAATCAAATATTTAAGTGAGTGAAGCAATTTTTTTTTTGTTAATAAAATACTGAGTATTAATTTCGTTTATATTATAGACGCTCGAGTCAACAGATCTACAACGTAACATTGTTCTTCCTGTTCTTTATGTCGTTATACGGCTTATTGGGGGTACAATTCTTCGGAGAATTAAAAAATCATTGTGTGATGAATAATTCGGAGTACGATTACTTGGGAAGGCCGTAAGTTTTAACAAAAATTAATCTTTGTTTTTTGATTACTAATCGAATGGGCTTAGATGGTATTGACTGCTAAAAATATTGGTAAAATCATAGTTTCTTAAGTTCAAAAAAAATATATACAAACATACATACAAAGTAAGCTCGACAATTTTTCTATATGAAAGAAAGTTAGAAAAAAATTTGTTAAAATCAACGCGAATTTTTAACAACGGTGCCCATGAAAAAGTACCCGTCCATATTTAAGGTAGTATAGTCAAGGTATTAGTCTGAGCGCAAATAAAAAAATCGTGGGGATTATCGCAAGAGAGTTTTTTAATCCTAAACGATAGCCAACTTACCCTTAAAACACTTTCAGCTTTTGAGGTTAAAACATATTTGAATTAGATAGTATCAGCTAAAACTCAAACAACTTCGCATTTGGTAGTACATCCCACAGTGGTAGAGCCCCATACATTTGTTTGGAAAATTATTTGGTTGGAGGTAGCGTGGGGTTTTAATTTTCCGTATATAACATAAATAAATAAAATAACGAAAATTTGTGAGTTGGTTTATTTCCGCGCATACCTCCCATACAAACCTAAAAATGCAATAAAAAAGGGCCCGATGTATTTACGACTCCGACAAGTGGGAAGTGACATACATAATATCGATGCTAAGACATCAAGTTGTCAATTAACGTACATACATACATACATATATTTGAAAAGAAGCGGCCAGTGCCAGGAAAACGTTTTAGCGTTTAAAAGTGACAGAAAATGTTTAAAATATTAATATTATTTTCATAATTAGGTTTCTTCTTATCGCAAATGAGTTCAATAAAGTTAAAAAAAAATATAGTTATCATAAACGTATTCTGCCCTATCCTGAGTTTCGCCCGAAAAAAAATTCACCGCATTTTTCATCCGCCCATAGTAAACACATGGAAAAGAAAAGTGAAAAGTGAACCGGTTCGAGGAAAATTAAACTCATGATAAGGCTGATTATCTTGGAAATAATATAATCAGCCTTATCATGAGTTTCATTTTTTCTGAACCGGTTCACTTTTCACTTTTCTTTTCCTGGTTTTACTATGGGCGGATGTCACATTTTTGGGAGATTTTTTTTTTCAGGCGAAACTCAGGATAAGGCAGAATATATTTACTTTGCTTCTAAAACGGTTGTTGGCATTATCTCCAATTTAAGGTTTATGCTTCTTAAAACAGAGTTGCGGTATTGCAATAGATATTCAGAGCTTATTCCAATAGCTGTATTAGGTTCAAGTAATAATTAAAATAGAACGTCTAAAGAACTATAAAAGAATTACTCAGTTCCTCGTACACTACTGTGGAACCGTTCCTCGGTTTGGCCAAGATCGAAAGATTTCTCCGATTGCCTCACCCTTTTACGCCTGGTACTTTTTTTTTGCATAAGAATATTCAAGAAAGAGATAAAAGCAATGAGGAAACAGACTCGCAGTATTTACGAGTATTAACTAACCCCAGCGAAAGTTGTCTTACACGGATACTGCAGTTTATGAGGTCATCTGCATAAACTCTAAATTTGCTAGAGTAACTCGACCAAAAGGAAGAATGTGATGCCTACAACTGAAGACCAGAGAAAGGTTTATGGGTGCAATGTGACCATGGAAAACGAGTCGCCTGGTATGTTATATGAAATTTCGAAAATATATGCAAGAGCTCTAATAAATATATCATCGCGAATATATCCAGTCTATACTCTATATCATACTTAAATGTTAGGAACATAAAACAACAAACTTAAAGAAATATTTTTTTCTGATCCCGTTGCTAAACCCCATATGAATTTTTTGCCATGAAAATGAATTTGCTACAGAACTCAATTGCCATTCCAAATAGGCATTAAAGTGTAAAAAAAGAAATTGTGTCGCTTTGGCCAAATACATATATTCTATACTTAAATATATCCGATAGGTGACTTCTATATTTCCCCTCCCTTGTATATTTCCCTCCAGCATTTTGACGATCAATTCGTTGGCCATACCCGATACGTTCTGCTCCATGGATCCCGATTCTGGATATCAATGCTCTCCTGGAATGATGTGCATGAAAATGGACTTTCTAAGCAGCTACGTGATTGGCTTCAATGGGTTTGAAGACTTTGCTACGAGCATTTTTACTGTCTACCAAGCGGCATCGCAAGAGGGCTGGGTCTTCATTATGTATCGTGCGATCGATTCGCTGCCTGCCTGGCGTGCTGCCTTCTACTTTAGGTAAGGAACTACAGAGCTTTGTTTAAGAATTAGTTTTTTTCTACAAAAAAAAAAACCCCTTCGCTTCACCAGCACAATGATCTTCTTTCTCGCTTGGCTGGTGAAGAATGTTTTCATTGCTGTCATCACAGAGACTTTCAACGAGATACGCGTGCAGTTCCAGCAGATGTGGGGTGCGCGTGGTCACATACAAAAGACGGCTGCATCGCAAATACTCAGCGGCAATGATTCCGGTTGGCGTTTGGTTACGATAGATGATAATAAACATGGCGGCCTGGCGCCTGAAACTTGTCACGCCATTTTACGTTCGCCCTACTTTCGTATGTTGGTAATGTCAGTGATCTTGGCTAACGGCATAGTTATGGCCACAATGACTTTCAAACATGATGGTCGCCCAAGGAATGTGTTTTATGAGAAATATTACTATATCGAAATGGCGTTTACGTTCTTCTTGGACTTGGAGACGCTGTTCAAGATCTACTGCTTGGGTTGGCGTGGTTACTACAAACATTCAATACATAAATTTGAATTGCTGCTGGCTGTGGGCACTACCATCCACATTGTGCCGATGTTTTACCTCTCTGGATTCACCTACTTCCAGGTAAGATCCGACTACGTATTATATGTGTATTAGGGTGCATCACTCTCCATGGAAAAAATAAAAAATAAAAGTCGGTGCCAGTTTTCCTTTTGAATTATTAAGTGTATGTATTGTATTTTAAGACTTTCGCCAAAATATTTAGGAAAAATATTTTGATTGATGTGAGCTCGGCCGACGTTAAATAATTTACCTCCAAAAATTGGCTTTTTTAAATAAAATCAGTTAAAAAAATTTTTTTTTCTAAAAAATCACCTCAGATTAAAAATCTGCATAAAAATTTTAACAATGGACCGAAAATAATATTTCAAATTCGTCCAGGTCACACAAATCTCAACATTTTTCCGATATATTTTATCGTATGTAATATAATAATTTTTGAATTTCGATGGAAAATCGTATATTTTTTTGGTGGGACACCCAAATGTACCTATAAATTTCATTGTACTATAGAATTAAAAGGTTTTCTTTTATTTCTATTTTTATTTCCATTAAAATTCAAACTAAACGACTACCAATAATTTTTACCTTCTTCCAGGTCCTACGCGTTGTCCGTTTGATCAAAGCGTCGCCGATGCTCGAAGGCTTCGTTTATAAAATTTTCGGCCCCGGCAAGAAACTCGGCTCACTGATCATATTCACTATGTGCTTGCTGATCATTAGCTCCAGCATTTCCATGCAACTTTTCTGCTTTCTTTGTGACTTTACGAAATTCGAATCATTCCCGGAAGCGTTTATGTCTATGTTCCAGATTCTCACGCAAGAAGCTTGGGTTGAGGTTATGGATGAAACTATGATACGCACAAGTAAAACACTGACACCCCTAGTGGCCGTCTACTTCATACTCTATCACTTGTTCGTCACATTGATCGTGCTGAGTTTGTTCGTGGCGGTTATTTTGGATAATTTGGAATTGGATGAGGATATTAAGAAATTGAAGCAACTTAAATTTCGCGAGCAAAGCGCTGAGATCAAGGAAACTCTACCATTTCGTTTGCGCATTTTCGAAAAGTTTCCAGATTCGCCACAAATGACTATACTCCATAGAATACCAAACGATTTCACGTTGCCCAAAGTGCGTGAGTCCTTCATGAAACATTTCGTAATCGAGTTAGAAACAGATGATCCTTCGATTGTCGAGAATTGTAAGCGACCTATGTCGGAATGTTGGGAGTCCAATGTGGTATTTCGTAAGCAGAAGCCTGTACGAATAATGAACAAAACGCCAAAGGTGCGTTCGGCCGGCAGCAGTTTGCGGAAGTTAGCTATCACTCATATAATCAAGTAAGCGATAGATAAGGAACTGTCTTTCAAAATGTAAATAGAATTGGCTGCAAAATTTTCCGAATGGGAAACTGCTGTCGAGACATTCCTTTTTTGAAGGGAATAGTATGTCTTAATATGCAAGCAGAGAATAATTTGTATATATGATATATATGTATGTATGTATGTTATGGTATCATCCAGGGCATTTAAAACAATCGTTCATTCCCTTATCGAAATGTTTCGGCAGCCGTTGTCCTGCATGCAATGTGTCCTCAAAATTCTCATATTTGTGTACTTTTATTCAAAATTGACTTACTCAAGTCGACTTTCCAGTGATTCGAATAATCAGCGTTTAATGCTTGGAGACTCCGCTATGCTGCCTGTCGTAGGCGGCAAAGGGGGTTTAAAGTCTCAAGGCACCATAACACATTCGAAACCATGGCGTGTAGATCAAAAGAAGTAGGTTCCTAACACATTTTAAGCGATTGCATTAATCTGGTATTGGTCTTAACTTTTATTTGTGTCAACCCAGATTTGGTTCACGTTCTATACGCCGGAGCGTACGTTCCGGTTCGATTAAATTGAAACAGACTTATGAACATTTAATGGAGAATGGCGACATCGCAGCAGCGCCACGCGCCAATTCGGGGCGTGCACGTCCACACGATCTGGATATAAAGCTGTTGCAAGCGAAGCGTCAACAGGCCGAGATGAGACGCAATCAACGCGAGGAGGACTTGCGCGAGAATCATCCCTTCTTCGATACACCGCTCTTCCTAGTGCCGCGTGAGAGTCGTTTCCGTAAGATTTGCCAGAAGATCGTGCATGGCCGCTACGACGCGCGGCTCAAAGATCCACTGACGGGCAAGGAACGCAAAGTGCAGTACAAAAGCATGCAGTAAGTTTTTGTTTTTACTGATTTTCCAAAAGTTTAATCTGTATGCATTCATATTTATGTGCATATGTAAATATATTCTTCCTTGTCATACGCAGTAACTTTCTCGGTCTTGTCACTTACTTGGATTGGGTAATGATCTTCGTAACGACACTCTCCTGTATTTCGATGATGTTTGAAACGCCCAGCTACCGGGTTATGGATCATCCGACTCTACAAATAGCTGAATATGGGTTCGTTATTTTTATGAGTCTGGAGCTGGCACTTAAAATACTCGCCGATGGCCTCTTCTTCACGCCAAAAGCCTATATAAAGGATGTCGCCGCTGTGTTGGATGTCTTCATATATGTTGTTTC